TAATCAGTTTCGCTATCGTGCAAATAATACGATACGGGAATTTTCCATCGTGCCTTCGCGTGGGCACTCGAATCGAGCTGTCCTCTGTTCGTCACCTGAGCGAACAAAACCGTGTTGTTGTTTTGCTCTCTGGAATTCCGAACTCGAAGCCTATTGTGCTTCGGGACATTCAAAAATATTTCGTGCTAGGCCCAGTTGCCATCGCTTCGAGATCACATGGACTCACAACCCTACGCGCGTGTTCCGTCTGTTGATTTCGTGGTAGTGTTTTGAGCGCCATGAGTCGGAGCCACATAACTAAGCGCGAGTTGTGTATACAACGGATGAGGGAGATCCACGAGTTGTCGATGCTCGCAGTGGACAATGCTGCCCAGAAACCGCATTTTCTCGTTCGGTATCCCACCGTAACTAAGTTGATCGCGGATTTCGAGAACGCACACCTCAAGGTGATCCAAAATGCCTCGGACGAGAAGTTTGCCACGGAAGACGTGATTCGTAGGGAATTCGACACGATCTGTTTCGGCGTGGTCGGGCATTACGAAAAGTTTGTGGGCGCCGACCGAGCGGCCGCCGCGGCTGCCCCGGTCCCAACGTCGTCTATCCGACTGTCCAAAATCGAACTTCCGCAATTCTCGGGAGACCTGGCGCTTTGGCCCTCGTTCATCGCTCTATACAACGTTTCCATTCACGAGAACCGTAACATTTCTTCTATGGAAAAATACCAGTACCTGATTGCCCCGTTGAAGGGCGAAGCGCTCAATGTTGTTAAAAACCTCCTTATTTCGGTCGACTACGCGATAGCTTATGATTCCTTGGTCTTGCGATACCAGAATAAGCGGGATTTGACGGATTATCACGTAGATTTAATGCTTAATGCCAAGCCGCTTTTAGACACCTTCACCGAAAACATCGCGGGCATTGAGCTTATTGGGATTCCCCACAGATACGTGGGACTACTTACTACTCAAATTCTTACTAGGAAAACTCCCTCGTTCGCTCAGGGAAAAGTTCGAATCCGAACACCGGGCGGAAGAGATACCCAAGTACACGCAGCTCACGAAATTCCTCTCCGATCACTGTCGGGTGCTCGCGTCCGTATCCGGCCTCTCAAGCTTTTCGCAATCGCAGTCCGCTTCGCAAAAGGGTTCCACGGCGATTTCATCGTTTGTAACGCACACGAAGGATTGCCCCGTGTGCAAAGAGCAGCATTACATAACAAAGTGTTCGCGGTTCCTTAAACTCTCGTCTAAGGAGAGATCGTCGACCGCTCGCAATTTGAAACTCTGCCTTAATTGTCTTCACTCCGGGCACGGCTTGAAGAGTTGTCCTTCCACGTGGATATGTCGATCGTGCGGTATGAAGCACCATACGCTGCTGCATTTCAGGCACAGCTCTGGTCCCGCCCCTACGGCCGAATCGGTACCCGCGACTCCGGCCGCCCAGGGCTCCGTGACCGAAAGCAAACCGGAAGATAAACCACTCGTGTCGATGACCAGTCTCGCCAATAGCATCGTGCTGTTGTCCACCGTCCGAGCGGAATTAATAGACTCACTCGGCAACGCTTTCCCTGTTTGCGTACTACTGGATAGCGCGAGCTAGGCCAATTTTATAACTGAAAGCTGCCTTCAGAAAGGCGGATTTCGCCGGACTAGGCACTCGGCGCCGGTCTTCGCGGTGAACGAAACAAAGGCGGCCACAACGAAGGGCCTTACGTCGTTCGTTCTCCGTGCTCGCAGTCGCAACGACATTCGCTTTCCAATCGAGGCCACGGTTCTTCCGCGCATTACGTCGCCGTTGCCAAGTAGTCAAGTCACAGTCAGATCGTGGGATCATTTGAAAGAATTGCCGCTCGCGGATCCCGAGTATTACTTACCCGGTTATGTTGACATTTTACTGGAGCCGAATCGTTCGTCTCCGTATTACGTGACGGTCGTCGTAAAAGAAGGGATGGGGAACCGGACGCCTTCAACACCGTATTCGGCTGGGTTCTGACGGGCGCGGTCTCCCGTCGTTGCAAGTAGCACCCCTGCACTCGTTTGCTACCACTCTCGAGTCGATCAAGACTGCAGTGGGTAGGTTTTGGCAGCTAGAAGAGGTTCCGAAACACGCGTCTTGTTCGGAAGAGGATCGTCGATGTAGGGAGACCACATATCGCAAAGACCACATATCGTGACCAATCGGGTCGTTTCGTAGTTTCATATCCCTTTGCGTCAGATCCTTCTGCATTTGTCGACTCGCGTTCTATAACTGTTAGTCGTCTCCGCGCGTTTGAGCGCCGTTTCAGGTCAAACCCCGATTTTAGGCTTGATTACAATAACTTTATGCAGGGCTATTTCGTTAGCGGTCATATGGAGTTGATCGAGAATCCGTTCCCGTCGGATGGTCATATTTATTATTTGCCTTACCACGGCGTATACAAACTCGATAGCACTACCACTAAATTGCGGGTAGTGTTTAACGCCTCGTCACATTGCCCCAACGGTCTTTCGATAAACGACGCCTTACTGAGCGGTCCGAAATTACAGCCAGATCTGTTCGCCATCCTGCTTAAGTTTCGCGCCAAACCGGTAGCTCTAACCGCGGACGTGAATCAGATGTTCCGTCAAATATGGATAAACCCGGAGCAATGCGATTACTAACGCATTGTCTGGCGTTTCTCGGAGTTAGATCCGATCCTCGATTACCTGCTGAAGACGGTCACGTTCAGCTTCACTTCGTTCCCGTTTCTAGCGATCTACTGCTTGCTCCAGCTAGCTCTCGAGTACCGCGAAAAATATCCGCTGGCTTTCGCTGCAATATTCGAGGCGCTATATGTAGACGACATCGTGATTAGCGTTCGTACGATGGAAAAGGCTCGCGCGCTTCGCGACCAATTGCTATCGCTACTCCGGAGCGCCGGCTTTGAGTTTAGGAAATGGGCGAGTAGCCATCCTGCCGCGTTGGATGGGCTCGATCCGCAGTTATGTAGTCAGGCGATGTTGTCGTTTGAATCGAGCGAAGATCAATCTTTCAAGGTCTTAAGCTTCCGTTGGCATTCGCAGTCCGATAACTTCGGATTCCAAGTCAATCCATTAGAACGCGGATGCACAAAGCGGACCATATTGTCGGAGGTAGCGCGGATTTTCGACCCTTTGAGATTTCTGGTTCCCCTCACGTTCGCCGCTAAATGCCTGATACAGCGTTTGTGGACGCTGGATTGGGACAACGAGCCTCCGACAGATGTATGTCGCAGTTGGAAGCGCTACCGGGCCGTATTTGACGCGTTGGTTTCCCTTCGGGTTCCGCGCGTGTTGGATGACGGCCATGTGAATCGCTGCGAGTTGCATGGATTCTGTGATGGCAGTGAGCTGGGATACGAAGACGTGATTTACCTGCGCATTGTTAAGCTCGACGGCGTAGTCATTCGCTTCCTGTGCGCCAAGTCTAAAGTCGCGCCGCTTCGGCCTCTCACCATACCTCGATTGGAGCTCTGTGCAGCTCTCTTACTGTCAAAATTAATCGCGTACGTTCGTTAGGTCCTTTAGGGACACCTTAATATTGATACCGAGCATGCTTGGTCGGATTCCGAGGTAATCCTCGCCTGGATTCGCTCGGCTCCACAGCGGTGGAAAACGTTTGTTCGCAACCGCGTGGCCCGTATTTAGGACAACGTGCGGGTCTCGGATTGGGGCCACGTCGATACCGAGTCCAATCCGGCGGATCATTGTTCCCGTGGCCTCTTTCCCCGAGATTTAGTGGCTAATTCGGTGTGGCCCCCTCTGCCGGAGTGGCTACTTCGAACCCCGGGCCGAACCTGTCGTTACCGAGAAATCTCTTTCCAGCAAGAAGGAAAAGATTGTGTCGCTCGCCGCGCTCGATCCACGAACGATTTACGAATTGTTCCAAGGCCAAGCCGGTACCTGCGACCTTGGCCGTGGATCAATTCGAGTCACACTCCGCGTTATTAATCTTAGTGAAAATCGTGCAGGCCAAAGTCTTCAGCGTTGAGATAGATTGGCTCCGAAGCGGGAAAAGCGTCCCCAAGCCTCTACTCAAACTCGCTCCCTTTCTCAATCCCTCGGGTGTTCTCAGGGTGGGCGGTAGGCTTGTGCAGTCAGTACTGCCGTTCGAGAACAAACACCCTGCACTATTGCCTAACAGTCATCGACTGACTGAGCTCGTGATTGAACAGGTGCACCGCGCTCACCTGCACCCGGGTAGACGCACGATGCAGTATCTGCTGACTCAGCGATTCTGGATCCTAGGCATACATCGAGCAATCCGCCGCGTACTCTCGGGATGCTACCAATGTTTTCGAGCCAGTCCGCATGCTGCTCAACCCAACATAACGACCCTGCCGGCCGAAAGAGTTCGTTAGGCCAAACCGTTCTCGATTACCGGCGTCGATTTTGCGGGACCATTCTCGTTGGTTACTCGCCGAGCTCGGGGAGTCTCCTCGTTCAAAACGTATGTCTGCCTCTTCGTCTGCTTCACGGTTAAAGCTATACATCTCGAAGTAGTCTTTTCGCTCTCTACGGACTCCTTCCTCGCTGCGTTGCGACGCTTCGTGGCGCGACGCGGACGCTGCTCACTCCTTTACAGTGACTGCGGCACCAATTTCGTGGGCGCCGCGCGCGAATTAGAAACAAATATGAGCCTCGCGGCGGAGCGCGAGAAGATAAAGTGGTCATTTAATCCTCCCTTTGCGCTCCACTTCGGGGGCCTCTGGGAGTCGGGCGTTAAATCCTTCGAAACTCATCTGCGACGGGTGGTGGGGGATCAAGTCCTGTCGCTCGAGGAGTTCATTACTGTTCTCGCTCAAGTCGAGTCCGTCTTAAATTCCCGACCTCTCTGCCCCATGAGCACCGATCCTTCGGACCTCGAGGTCCTATCTCCGGGCCATTTCCTCACGATGGAACCCCTTGTATCCGTTCCCACTCACAACGTAACTCCGCTGCCGGTGAATCGTCTGTATCGATGGCAGCTCGTTCAGCGAATCCACCAGGATTTCTGGAAGCGCTGGCACCATGAGTACCTCCATACGCTGCAACAACTTCCCAAGTGGTGAACTTCGGTCAATCCACTCGTTGTCGGTTTGTTGGTCCTCATCAAGGACGCCAACATGCCCCCTCTGCGTTGGAGGCGTGGGCGAGTGGAGGCGCTACATCCGGGTAGCGATGGCGTCCCGCGTGTCGCCACGGTGCGGGTGGCGGATGGCTCGACGATCTCGCGTCCCCTGGTGAAACTGTGCATTTTGCCGATGGGCCCGGCTCCACCGGCGACTGATACGGATCTTAAAGTTATAAAATACATCACGGTGTATTTTGGTGGGCGGTATGTTTGGCGCTCGCCACATTGTGTATATTGTAGT